AAGCAAGAAACTCATTCTCGGAAGCGTTTCGCTTATCTATATATATAAAATTGAATGTCTGTGTGTGTGTGTGTCTGTGTGTGTGTGTGTGTGTCCCCTATGGATTCAAAAACCATACATCCAATCGCCGTGAAATATTGGGATATTATTAGGTATATCTCCGGAAAGGTTTACGAAAAATAATTTCTTGAATATCTTTAATATCCTTAGAGTTATTTGCAGATTTGTAGCTTTAACTCGCAAGCAACGCCACCTTAGGCTTAGGTCTGCCCCCCCGTCCGGCCGCCGGCCATTGGACAGTCCAAGTTCCCACCGACCAATCAGAGGGATCAAGATCCCCACCTCCCCCCCCCCCCTCCCCCCCCTCCCCCCCACCCCCGTCCGGCCGCCGGCCAATCAGAGGGATCAAGAGGTCCTGGCGCTGGGGGGGCGGGTAACCTCCGGGAACTACGTCCATCTTCCATAAACGACCATGATTCTATTCAACTTATCGAGTAATTTTCAAGGGACCGGGAAAATATGTAGATAAAACGATGATTTTGTAATGTAGAAAATTAGGAAAGACAAAATTCAGGATGACACGGCACACAGGGACCGGGAAAAAATAATCACTTTATCGAGAGATTCACGACCATGATTTTATTCAACTTATCGAATATCTTTCAAGGGACCGGGAAAAAATGTTCACTATATAAAACGACGATTTTGTAATGTAGAAAATTATGGAAGACAAAATTCAGGATGACACGGCACACAGGGACCGGGAAAAAATGTTCACTTTATCGAGAGATTCAAATTTACGAGTTTCAAATTATCAAAATATATCTTTTTTTTTTATAAGTTTGTAGAGAATTGTTTTAACAAATGTTCGTTAGACAAACATTCACTCGGGTAAAACCCGGGCGAAGCTGGGCACATCCGCTAGTCTATATATATAAAATTGAATGTCTGTGTGTGTGTCTGTGTGTGTGTGTGTCCTCTATGGATTCAAAAACCATACATCCAATCGCCGTGTAATTTTGGGATATTATTAGGTGTATCTCCGGAAAGGTTTACGAAAAATAATTTCTTGAATATCTTTAATATCCTTAGAGTTATTTGCAGATTTGTAGCTTTAACTCGCAAGCAACGCCATCTTGCAACGGAGATCTGCCCCTCCCCCCCCCCCCCCACCGTCCGGCCGCCGGCCAGTTGGTTGGACATTCCAAGTTCCCACCGACCAATCAGAGGGATCAAGAGCCCCCCCCCCCGTCCGGCCGCCGGCCAATCACAATCAGAGTGATCAAGAGGTCCTGGCGCGCGGGGGGCGGGTGACCTCCGGGAACTACGTCCATCTTCCATAAACGACCATGATTTTATTCAACTTATCGAGTATTTTTCAAGGGACCGGGAAAATATGTTCACTAGATAAAACGATGATTTTGTAATGTAGAAAATTAGGAAAGACAAAATTCAGGATGACACGGCACACAGGGACCGGGAAAAAATGTTCACTTTATCGAGAGATTCAAATTTACGAGTTTCAAATTATTAAAATATATATTTTTTTTTATACGTTTATAGAGAATTGTTTCACCAAATGTTCGTTAGACAAACCTTTACTCGTGTAAAACCTCGGGCGAAGCCGGGTACGTCCGCTAGTTATTTATAAAGATGTTTGAATAATCTGAAAGGGGAATTACAAAGGAAGAAATTTGGTTAAAAAGATTAGGCCCAGTCACCCACATTGTCTTCTCAGAACTCAGGGGTCGCTCACCCGTTCAATCGTAGGAAGAGTATGATGGAAGCGGATCGCGCCGTCTCTACGCCAGTCCTACCCTTGGACCTCCTCTCTGGTGTATTCCTCCCGAGTCCTTGGTCCTGGATTGATGGACAGGTAAATAACTAAATATTCTGACTGATTCTATAGATGGAAATCACCATCTACCGGAATAAAAATCAACTAAACGTTCATATACGTTTATTCCATAATATTGGCCGAATACCTTCCATATTCTAACGCCTGTGTATCTCCAAAACCAGCATTGGCAAACATGCTTATATATTAACACAAAGAAATAAATGCTTATATATGTTTACATTTGTTGTTAAAAGACGGCTTCAATAAAGAATTTTTATTTGTTCATATCCCTCTTTCTCAGCGCAATATCTGTATATACAAATTTGATACAATACTGTTACAACGTGTTGCAACTTGTCAGGTCATCTACCTTGGTTCCCTCCTTCTTTGTGTTATACACCGAACGGGTTTCCATAATTAAAACAAATAAGATGCAAATAAAAAGTAAATAAAAGTACATTAGATTTTAAAGTTATTGTGTTTATTTATTTGTTGTCTTCCTCGTAGTTGGAAATGCTAAGTCTTCGTGTACTCCCTATATCTCTCCACAATAAACAATCAAGATATATACAATGACAATGTTACACAAGGAATGATACTACAGTTAAACCTGTCTATAGCGTCCCCTCTAAATAGCGCCCGATTTTAAATACGTAGTACGATGTGATTTACATTAAAAGTGACCTGTCTATAGCACGCCCTCTCTATAGCACCCTATTTTGGTGAGTCCCAAGAGGGGGCGCTATAGACAGGTTTAACTGCATATATAATCTGTTTAAAATAAATTTAAAACATCATAGATATTATTTTGAATGAATAGAGGGATGCATCAAACACGATGTAACGATATACAGCATTAAGACGCGAATGTTTCTTTCATGCATCAATCAAACTTTCTACTGTCCTTACTGCGATGAAAAAAAAATTAGGAGGGCTTAGCTCATCAGTAGTGAACCCTCCCAGTGGTTTCGCCAATTTAATCTACCAAATGATATGTAATAGAAACATTCGCGGCTTAATGTTTTCATTTGCTGTCTATAGATTACGCGTTATAGCTTGATACAGCACATGCCAATGAATATTGTTGGGCTGGTGACCTGATGTATTGGGAGGAAACATCCGAGAAGTCTTTTTAACGTTTATTCACAAACAAATAGAAATAACACCTTCTAACTAAAGATTATTGTCTTAATTTATCTTTAAGAACAAAAGGTATGGAAATTTGAAGATAGGAAATTATGGTAAATTATTATACAAAACTAAATTATGTAAAAATAATTATACATGGAAGTTAAAAGGAATAAGATTTGAAAAGTTACCGTTAAGTCCACGGGAAAAGATGTCGCCAAAACAAGTAGGTTTAGAACAGTGGCACGTTAGCACCCGCCTCTCTCCTAACAATATAAAATTGAACAAAAAATAATAAATTATCAATGAAATAAATAGAGTAATCACTGAATAAAATTGGCACTACTGCTAGTTAAGGTACCAGTTAATAATCATTTTTGGAAACACGGAATTGGCTGAGTAATGTCACCTATCAATCAATACTTGTCTCTATTTCTACTTGAAGGACTTCTATTAAAAACTTGTTTTTTTACATTTAGTGAATATTTTAGCTCTACCCTAAAGTTTCTGAGTAAAAACACGCTCTAAAATATATGTAAGAAAAAAAATATTGAAATACTTGAAGTATGTACGTGAAGTGTCAATTTATATGAGTTGATCTATAGGTTAGGCCAAAGAATCCAGAGTCTAAACTGCATGAAAACTATTTTAATGAAAAAAAAAAAACCTTCGATGTCACATCTCACACTTTTACATAAGTTACAGTTTAAACAGTTAGAGGAGTGGTGGAAACCGTCCGTTTTTGACAGCCCGGGATCGGTGATAAAGACATCTGTTACTGGCCTATCAAAACTACGAAAAGAAATATATTTATATAAATCAATTTATAATACATTATAATGCGGTTTATGATTGTATAACAACATTTGAAAATTATCCCGCATGTGTTTCTTTTGAACGAAAAATCAAATTTATTTTAAGGAGAAATAATGATTATTTCTAACTTTAGGAATGAAGTATGAAAGAATGAATTGTGAAGAGTAATGATAAACGGAAAAATAAAGTGTCCAAGGATGGGAATCGAACCCACAGTGTTCCGCTTACCGGGCAGATGCCATGTTCAGGGTAGCTTAGTGGACATGGCATCTGCCCGGTAAGTGGAACACTGTGGGTTCGATTCCCATCCCTGGACACTTTATTTTTCCGTTTATCATTACTCTTCACAATTCATCCTTTCATACTTCATCCCTAAGGTTAGAAATAATCGTTATTTCTCCTTAAAATAAATTTCGATTTTTCGTTCAAAAGAAACACATGCGGGATAATTTTCAAATGTCGTTCTATAAATCAATTTAATCACACACACACACAAAAAGACATATATTGGATTAAAATATAATTTATTTACCAATATTTCAGTTGGCTGAACGCCAACCTTTTTCAAGGTATTACAATATATTTATGTCAACAACAAACTCTATAAATATTTTGTAATACCTTGAAAAAGGTTGGCGTTCATCCAACTGAAATATTGGTAAAATAAATGATATTTTGATCCAATATATGTATTTTTAATTAAAGATCTATTTATGGATTTCTCTATTTTCAAAACGGATCAATTTATATTAAAAACTAAAATAGTACAATTTTCTTCATATAACTTTGATAAGTCAGTAGAAAACGTCTTTACTTGCTAAATCTCGCTTATGTTCCACAATAAATAAGTAACTTATTGTGAATATTTTCATCTCTTCATAACTATCAGCAATTAAAACCCAATGCAAACATTATATTTTAATACAATATAACGCGGCTGATGATTGTAAAACGAAAATTGCAATTATACCGCGAATGTTTCTTTTAAACGAAAAATCGAAATTTATTTCAGAGAGAAATAGCGATTATTTCTAACTTTAAGGATGAAGTATGATTAAAAAGTTAGAAATAATCGCTATTTCTCTTTAAAATAAATTTCGATTTTTGTTTAAAAGAAACATTTGCGGTATAATTGCCATTTTCGTTTTACAATCATCAGCCGCGTTATATTGTATTTTAAAATACTTTATATAATATTTACGAACGGAAAAATATGTCCAGGGTAGCCTAGTGGAATCTGCCCGGTAAGCGGAACACTGTGGGTTCGATTCCCATCCCTGGACACTTTTATTTTTCCGTTTGTCATTACTCTTCACAATTCATCCTATCATACTTCATCCTTAAAGTTAGAAATAATCGCTATTTATCTTTAAAATAAATTTCGATTTTTGTTTAAAAGAAACATTCGCGGTATAATTGCAATTTTCGTTTTACAAACATTATATTGTCTATTTTGGCGTTTCACAAAGAGAGTTGTCACAGATTTCTATTCTTGAGCTCCGGTTTGATGAATAGGAACTAGCTTCCTGTTGAGAGTAGCAGCTCCCAGCACTAAGTGAATGGAGGGCGGAAAGTTTCCAATATGGCGTCAGATAACGGTGTGTATGCTGGCGTAGCGTCTGCTCAACAATTTAGGCGTCTGCCACACTCTGATTGCTGGTATAGAGTTCATGCATTGGATGACAACACAGTTTTTCGCATAATATGTGCACAGTTAGAATTCAAAATTTGCATAAATAGAATATCTAGCCTATAGAATATTTACATATGTATTTTAAAAATATTTTCACCCCACAGGTTTAAATAAAAAAGATTGTGGAATCAAGTTTTTTAGAGAGAGAGAGAGAGAGAACGCTTCACGATTTTGCGTGTCATCCTTGCGCAGGGGCCATGCTAATCTTCTCTGTATCGTGAGAAGAGAGAGAGAGAGAGAGAGAGAGATGTGCGAGTGTGTTGTGTGTGCGCGCGTTTTTTTTTTTCTCTCTCAAATAAATAATTTCTAATATATTTTTCAATTTCATTTACATTAAATATTCAACCCATAATGTACACTCATGGACAAAACAAATGAAGTTGTACCTTTTAACATATATATCAGGATTCAGACAATAACTCTAAAAGATATTACAGTGACCTTTATTGAAGAAACGAGATAACCAAGCGTAAACAGTCTCTGTCTCCTTAAAAAAAAAAAAAAAAAGACCTCCGGCCACATCAAAGACTTTCACTTCTTTAAATTTTGTCCATGAGCTTATTATATCAATATTCTTTATATTTTGGAACCTGGTCACCTTTTCTTTTTGCATCTCTTTGAATGTTAATGTTAAGTATAAATTTTGATATATTAAAAAACCCTGTTTTAGAGTATTTATCTATATTCAACTTTGATGCTCGAGACTCTTTCTCTAGTTCAAAGAAGGTGAATGAGTGAGAGGCAATTAAAGTTTATGAAGTAGTAAGCAAGCCGCTTGGTGCGCGCGCGTAACAATATATAATATGAATATTTCAAAACATTGTTTGGTTTTATGATATAGATATTTCTTCATCGTTTAGTGTATGATAAGGTACACTTTGGATTATAGATTATAAACACAAGGATTAAGACCAAATCCAAATAAATTCGTAGGTCTATTGAAGTCTTTCAAAATGATAAGATACAATTTGGATTATAGATTATAAACACAAGGTAATAAAACCAAATACCAATAACTTCGTAGGTTCATTGAAGTCTATAAAAATGATAATGTACAATTTGGAGTACAGATTATAAACACAAGGTAATAAGACCAAATACCAATAACTTCGTAGGTCCACTGAAGTCTATCAAAATGAAAATGTACAATTTGGAGTACAGATTATAAACACAAGGTAATAAGACCAAATACCAATATCTTCGTAGGTCCATTGAAGTCTATCAAAATGATAATGTACAATTTGGAGTACAGATTATAAACACAAGGTAATAAGACCAAATACCAATAACTTCGTAGGTCCATTGAAGTCTATCAAAATGATAATGTACAATTTGGAGTACAGATTATAAACACAAGGTAATAAGACCAAATACCAATAACTTCGTAGGTCCATTGAAGTCTATCAAAATGATAATGTACAATTTGGAGTACAGATTATAAACACAAGGTAATAAGACCAAATCCAAATAAATTCGTAGGTTCATTGAAGTCTATCAAAATGATAAGGTACAATTTGGAGTACAGATTATAAACACAAGGTAATAAGACCAAATCCAAATAAATTCGTAGGTTCATTGAAGTCTATCAAAATGAAAAGGTACAATTTGGAGTACAGATTATAAACACAAGGTAATAAGACCAAATCCAAATAAATTCGTAGGTTCATTGAAGTCAATCAAAATGATAAGGTACAATTTGGATTATAGATTATAAACACAAGGTAATAAGAACAAATCCCAATAAATACAATAAATAGTGTTTGAAGTTTAGGTAACTGCATCAGTGTGGCGGGGAGGTGACCTTGGACAAGACAGTCCTGGTACCCTAGACATGAAGGCTATTGTCCTACTAAGCCCTTAAAGCATTTAGGAAGGCATTATAAATGTTGTGTCCCTTAATTTAAGAACTATGAATGCCGGCCAGGCAACTTCTATCTTCAAGAAAAATATTTTGTCAATTATAAAATGAATTACAGAAGTTTTCAGGCATACATCTCTTTCAGCTCAATATAAGAACGTCTATTATTCTTTCAGAGCGTATGGATGCCGATGCTTCTTTCTCTCGGTACAATTCGTCCATGTCGATCTGCAAGTATTCTGATTGTAATTCAATGGATGAATAGAATCTACCTCATCATACTTGAGACTTGGGGAGTGGTCAGACACCCTTTTTGGTATTTTGACGGGGAATGACGCGAGTTTTCCAACTACCATTATATTTTCACCGAGTATAACAACGGAATTTGAGAATGTTGCACGATGTTCTACAATTTTGTTCAACTTATATTGAATGTCCACATAGAAAAGGAAAAATACCTTTACTAAGATGAAAGAGACCTTCATGCCCGGAGGCGAAAAGGTCTTCCATGTCCGAAATATAGATATTTGCATTCAATTATTTTAAAAAAGAAACGTTATAGTTAATCTTACTCCTGAGGCTCCAAGGCCCGAAAGCTTGAGGTAATTAAATTATTTTTTGCAAGACACTCTTCCCTAGATGAAAAAAATATATTTTCTCAAAATGCCACTGACCTGTCATTCGACCTTACTGGATGCCGCGCCCTTCTTTTCCGGTGGTAGATTTTATTGAACGCCATCTTGAAGTTACATCAGGCTTGGTGTTTCTATGTTAAACATTCCTATTTGAAAAAGAAAGAATAAATAAAATTAAGGTGGAGAGTTCCTTTTTTTTTTCAAATAATTTCTAGGTAACTATTGCTCATATAAAGCATTCCTATGTATGCAACATTGTATATGTACAACATATATAATACGACATATATATATATATATATATATTAAAAATAAAGAAAGCATCTCCTGACCACGAGCACATGTGCTTTTTAGATGGCCGAGCCAATCATCAAGAAATTGAGTTGGCCAAATATCACGGAGCAAGCTAAATAAACGTTTAGTTTATTCTTGCTCCACTAGATGGCGCTCGGTCATCTAAAAAGCACATGTGCTCGTGGTCAGGAGATGCCTTCTTTATTTTTAATATCAACACCTGACCCACTTTTATTTTTTTCTATTGTTTTCTCATATATATATATATGGTAATTTAAACCAACAACCCCATATTGTATATAACTTATAACAATATTTTCATGTTGTATAATTGAAACACATCTGTAAATGATTATACGCATTATTGACATGTGTCATTACATCATCATATGTAATGTACTTTGTACAAACTGAGGATAAATAAATAAAACTCTGTGATAGATTAAGAGTTGAGCTGAAGCAAGAGATAGAAGTCTAAAACGTCTAAAATCGAGATAGATGGAAGTCCCACAACAACATCTAAAGATAGATAGGAAACTGTCAGGGCGGCGCCAGTGTACAATTTCGCCAGCCGATCCACACTCTTGTTGCATCTGCTGAAATGCAATACTTCCTCTCTCGGCAAAGATATATAATACCTCCGCCCTAGCCAAAAATATAGTCACTTTACCATCAGCGTGAGCCCTCGTCGGTTGTCACCAAGGTCCTCCTCATCCACCATGTAGACCAGTAAGAACTCTTCTATCTCCATCTTTCCCTCCAAGCTCAACTTTTATCTGTTCACGGAACTTTCCTAGTGCAACTGTGTTTGCGTTTTTTTGTGTGGACATTCCCAAGCTTTCCACTCTACCTCGACCACGACTGCCTGTACTCTGTGAGAACTGTTAAAGGTCTCCCAAGGTGCAGAGAGATACTGGAAAACTCTCCACGCCCTGACTGTCCCTCTCGGTTACTACAGGTTTGCCCCTTTCGGTTACCATACTACAGCGAGAGACCCTCGGTCAACACAGTATAGCGAGGGTCGACAGGATCGCACACCATTGATTAAGTCGACTGGATACCTCACCATATTTTTAGTCGACAGGATTCTATAAGAGGCTACAAGACCTCACTCATCACAGATTTAGTCGACATGATCTCATCACATGTATATACACTGGTCCGCAAAATTAAAGGAACAACACATGTTTAAGAAAAAGAAAAGTTATATTAAGGGATATATATCAAGGTTTGGTATATTCAAAAGCTTCCATGAATTAAGAGAGTATGTAAAACAGAAAAACAAATAAAGTTGTTCCCAATATGCAAAATACCACCGTCTACGTTGACTCCGCCTCCAGCACGTGCCTGAGTCTTTCTCAAAGCGTCCTAATTTTACGCTCCACTAGATTTTTATTGAACCTTTTTGTTTTTTAAAGTTTTCATGGCTTATAGGCAACATTTATCACAAGAAAAAAAAGGAAAGCTATTGAAAGGATGGAAGCAGGCAAATCACAGGCAGAAGTAGCAAGATGGCTTGGAGTGACAAGAAACGTTGTCTCAAGGCTTTGGAAAAAAAATCAAACGACAGCTAATGTTGCCAGAACATCCGGACAAGGACGGCCAAGGGTTACAACGTTAAATCAAGACCGTTATTTGAGTCTCCTTGTGTGTCGCAATAGAAGAATGACAGCATCGCAACTACGAAGTGACCTCAATGCAGCTAAAGGAGTCTTAGTATCAACTGATACAATACCCAGAAGGCTTCACAAGAAGGGCCTCTATGCTCGACGACCCATAATTTGTGTGCCATTGACACCACCT